ATATATTCACACAGCTTTCAATTTTTTTGGTAATTTATTTGAACTACAACACAATAGGTGGAGATTTGGAGTAAGGAGCATTGGAGGAAATACTCCAATCCTCTCTAAGGGTACATCTACAAGGCAGTGTTATTTCGGAATAACTGATGTTTTTCCAAAATAACATTGTGCGTGTCACTACAAGCCTTTATTTCAAAATAATGTTGAGCCGGAAGACTTGTTACTCTGATTCATGGTAAACCTCATTTTATGAGGAGTAAAGAAAGACCTCCTGCTGTGTAGACAATGCCAAAAACCAAAATAAGCTATTTCAACTTAAGCTATTCAATTGATGTAGCTGAACTTATGTTGCTTAATTCGACTTTAGCCCGGCTGTGTAGATGTACCCTAATTAGGGATGTTAAAATTAATCAAATAATCAATTAGTCCATGGAATTTTCATCAACTATTCGATCAGTCAATAAGGGTGCTTCCAGTTTGAAATGTAGCAAGAGCCTGCTGGGCTGTTGCTACATTTCGAAGATGAAAGTGCTGTTGTGTTCTGCCTTTGAAATGCAGCATGGAGCCTGGGACCAGAGGGTGAGTCCTCCGCTGGACCCAGGTTCCATGAAGTGCTTCCACTTCGAAATGTACAAGAGCCCCAGTGGGGACTCTTGTACATTTCAAAGGTGTAATGCTGCTGATATGGCTCTGCCTCCTCCCATTGAGCTGGGGGAACCAGCTCTCCCCAGCACCTCCTCTTCTTCCCTCTTTGCAGCCTCCCTGGGGGAAGTGTTCAGTCAAGTAGTGTGCTGACTATCCTATAAGCTTTCGCTTATCAGCTAGTCGACTAGTCGCTTACAACCCTAACTCTAATAGTAACGTAGCTGGTGTTAACTGTTTACTTCTAAAGCTTCACAAGGGCAGCCGAGTGAGTCTGTAATTGGAAAACTTAAAGAATGAGGAACAGTCTAGCACAGTGGTCCCCAATGCGGTGCCCGCGGACGCCATGGCGCCCGCCGGGGCATTTGTTTCTTATCAGCTAGTCGACTAGTCGCTTACAACCCTAACTCTAATAGTAACGTAGCTGGTGTTAACTGTTTACTTCTAAAGCTTCACAAGGGCAGCCGAGTGAGTCTGTAATTGGAAAACTTAAAGAATGAGGAACAGTCTAGCACAGTGGTCCCCAATGCGGTGCCCGCGGACGCCATGGCGCCCGCCGGGGCATTTGTTTGTGCCCGCCAACAACCTGGGCCGGCCCC